TGTTGACTGTATGGTGCTTTGGTAATGGTCAAGCTTGAGATTAGGCAATGGGCATGGTGATTCTGGTTATAGTCTTAGTGATTCTGGTTATGGTTTTGGTGATTGAATAGGGTGATGGTTTTGGTGATTGAACGGGGTGATGGTTTTGGGGGTTGAACATGGTGATGGTTTTATCTGGTTTTTATGTTAGCTTGGCTTGGTAACTTAGTTTGCAGGTTATGGTGGTTCGGGTTTTGTTTTACAGTATGGTTGAGGGGTTATGTTTCAGTTTTAGTTTTTTGTGTTTTTTGGATTTGAACTGGTTTAACAAGGCTTCAGGTTATGGTTTTTGTGAGACTTTTGCTAATGGGCTTGTGTTTGATCTGGACAGTAGGCAGGTTATTGGAGCATTAGCAGGTTATGTGAAGTGTTTTTCTTCTCTTTTCTTTTTGCAGATAAAAAACGGAGCACCGGAGCGGAGTGAAGAATGAAAAATATTAGAACTAGGATAGTTTTCATTTTATGTAATATTTTAAATTAATGTATATTATTGTTCATAATTTAAATTATAAACAACAATTTGTACAAATAATTCAAATATCAATAAAATCCAAATTATCCAATTGGTTCTAATTTTCTTTATTGTTTATTTATTTATTTAAAATTCTTAGAATTAAAACAATTGAAAAATAAATTTCAATCATTCAATTTTAGAATAATAAATAACTTAAATAAAAACAACATTGATCAATTAAACCTGTCTTATTCAAAATCCAAAGCAAAGCAGCAGTTAACCCAAATGGACTGATCAAACGCATAAACACTGAATCCAATACTGCATCCTGTATTTGACCGACTCAAAGAAAACAACATGAATTCCAACCACTCTTTCTTTCACTGATTACATCAAAACAATGCAAATTTAACCCGAATCTCGGAATAAACTGCGAAGTGCTGTGGAATTTAAATTCTTCTGAGAATATGCCCATAAAACCTTAACTCCTGATTAAATGTCAAATAACGCTCGCCTGATCAAAACTGAGCCAAAAACCAACCAAAAACCCTAAGCCAACTGTATGAAACAACCCAGAGCTCTGAAAATCAGTAAAAACCCTAATTTTGCTTGACTGTCAAGAAAAGTCCGTTTGTCCGGTTCTTGAGCCAGTTTGAAAAGTCAGGAAATGTTTGAAGCTGATATCTCTTGGGGAAAAGCGCGAGGGCAAATTTTGGGGTACAACAAAGAGATACCATGCGATCCAATTTATTTGTTCCTGTGGCATCTCAAAAGGGTCGACGTCCAATAGGGTCTTACCAACTGGAAAGATTTTGCTCAAGAATGGTGTAAGATGTGGCAGAGGCGTCACCGACATGTCTTGCAATTCCCAGTTTTCCTCAACTATGGTAATATGCGACACACGGATCAATATTTAGCTTGGTACAGATCGGTTAGTACCCAGAAATGCACGTATTTCATCCAAGGTATTTAGTTGACCCACGAACACAATGGACACAACCCTCATTTCCCCAACAACAAACCCAACACACATCAACCTCCCACCAACCCCCCCGACGAAACAGAACCACAAAAACCCAACCACAATCACAACCACAATACTAATACCATCATATGCCTCACACCCAACCACAATTTCAATCACAATACCAATACACTCGCATACCCCACACACAATTCCAGTCTTCTACATATCCCAATATGGGCCCTTCAACATCTAACCTTAGCCCTGATATGGGATTGTCCGAAGATTATGAACCAACCGACCCAACTTACCATCAACAACAACATCATCAAAGCACCTAACATTCCCAATACCAAACACCCCAAGGTCCATTTCCTTTCTACCCCCTGTACTCAGACGACCAGTGCTACAGACCAACCATGGAACCCCACCCACCACCAACACGACCAAACTTTGAGGGTATGGGCAACTGACTGTACCAAAGTAGGTCTTCTAGATATGGAGATCTGACTGATTTCATGGATCCGGAATGCATTGACTTTGCTGGGCCATCGACCCTGCCACAACAGGAAACGCGACGAAACCCAACACGGGAAAGGCGAGAACGGGGATGCGGAACTGGGGGTCATTACCGGGTTCTGGGGGACCACTGATTAATCTGTATTTTTTATGTAATCGTTATGTGTGTAATCATATTGTATGTAATCATATTGTGTAAATAAAAAGTCAATTTTCTTGATCCTATATCGTTTACGTAACATACCGCATTTAAAATAAAAAACACGAAAAATTGCCTGCCTTTTGCACTAAGGCGCCATCTCACTTGGCTTAGGGCAAACCTTTTACACATAGACGCCAAGTGAGATGACGCCCCCCTTTAAAACTCAGTGCATGCGCCAACTGGGTTGGCTCCTCCCTTATGGGGTTTTCTGAAACATGGTTATTTGCGTAATTTTCTCTGAAACATGGTTATTTGTGAATTTTTTTTAATACCTAGTTATTCCAAAAAAAATTCCATACTATACTGCCATACTTCCAATAATCACACATAAGCTAATGAAAAGATAACTATGGAGTAAGTTTGATGTTTGATGCATAGGTAAGAAACACAGGTAAGTATATTATTACTTTACAAGTATATTACTTTATAAGTTGATGGTGCTCAATACCTTTAACAAACAAAAAATATAAGTATTTAAAATTCTTATTTTAAATATTTATTTATTTTTAAATAATGTTAAAGAACATAATCATGTCATACTTCTTTTTTGTACATCTCAGTAATATCAAATTGTTTCTCGTTTTTATGTCCAGAACATGTATTATCATTGAACTAAGGGATCATGATCAAACTAGCTAGAGTATACCATGTTTTGAAGTTTGGATGGTGTTGGGTTATCATGTTATGCATGAATGATGCAATAAACTATATGTTTAATCCTAGACAATTTCATCATATAGATTTGAAATATAACTTGCATATCTCACATCGATGGATCAATGACTATATTTACCCACTTATGAAGGGTGATTCCTTAACTCAAGCATGATCTGAAGTGATTCGACAATCCAGCAATTCCTATATTACTATAAATCCATTAATAGCAATAACTCATGCTATAGTACTACAATTCCTTATCACCAATATGAATTGTACAGTTCACCAAAAAGCATTACTTTCTTTATGATTTTATACACCAACTCTCATCAAAGAAATTGAAAGGTCATATAGGCTTAAATTATTCAGTTCAAAAGGGATCGAAGAAAAAATGGGCTCACTTCAAAACAGGTGCTACAGAGAGTCACCCACTCACTCACCTTATGCACCATATTTGTCATTTCCGTTGATCTTCTTGAATGATTTAGTACATCAATTCTCATCAAAAAAATTGGAAGGTTGTATAGGCTTAAATTGTTAGATGTAAAATGGACTGAAGAAAAAAGGGGATAATTTATAAACAATCATTCGCAAAGTCTTGGTCGCAGTCATTCATACACTCCATGTGAATCTCATTGGCTATATCATTGGTTTCCTTTCATTATGACTTAAGAATTGTGATTTATTTATTTTTGTCAATTCATGAGCAAGTAATATGAACATGTAATAATGCGTTTTGATGAGCAACACCTGCCTTTATTTTATGTAAGGTATTTCAATTTTGAATTTGATATTCCCTTCGCAGGTTATTCTGCTCAATGCTTTGTTCAGATCCTAAACTCGACTCCCACTGATTCAAGGATATTATTGACGAGACCATAGCTTTAAAGATATTTAAGTTTGCAGCACCTCTTTTAAAGGAGTCATACATCAGATCTTATTGAATAAACATTAGTGTTTATAACCTAAAAATGGACTAAACACATGAATTGAAAGTAAGTTTGGGTAAATGGATTGTTACTGAAACAAATCTGGACTTAGGCCCAAATGACATATTTTTATAATTTAAAAAAAATTCATAAAAAATATTAATTATTAAAAAACTAAAAAAATATAATATATAAACAAAATAACAAATAATAAAAATTATTATAAAAAATAAAAGAATTTCACGTGTCTTTAAAAAATAAAACAAAAAATAAAATAAAAATCCTATTGACTGTCTAATCAGCAACAAAATGAAATCTGAGCTTAAATAATGTACAATCCGAGCTTAAATAATGTACAGAGAAAGATTATTAAGAGAATCTGAATATTACGAGGGAAAAATAAAAATAAAAACAAGAAAAACAACCCTTAAATAAATTATAAAAAATAATCTGAATGCGGAGAGGGATAGTGCTAGTTATAAATTCACGGTCCAGTTAGAACTAGTAGAAACTCATTTTATATACCAAAACCCAGATTTTCACTTCTCATTCTCTTATTCTCTCTCTTTTGTGGTTCAGGTAAGTTTCTCAACTCTTCTCTTCCATCATCTTCCATCATCTTCCATCGTTTCTCAACTCTTCTCTTCACTCAATCCATGCATGTAACCCTAAAACCCCTCAAAACACTGCTATCTTCGCCATATTCTGCTTAGATACCTCGCGTTTCATAATCAGCTAGGGTTTCAGGTTTACACTTCAAGTTCCACGCATTCACTTTTTTCATGTTTTTTTCATCCAATTTCGTTTCGTTTTTATACTGAAAACGCTTTGATTTAGTCTCTTCCTGTAGCTGATCTGGTTTTGTTCACTCAATTTGTTATTATCGCTGATTTCCACGAATCAGTTATAGTTAGAAGTTTTCATCTGAAAACTAGTTGCATGTGATATCTGTGGCGTTCATTTGATATTATCATCTTTCTTGATAATATTGCGCTTAATTTCTTGGTGTGTTGTTACAGTAAGGTTTTAAGTCAATGTGAATTCAGGTAGGTTATGTGAAACTTATGTTGTTTTAGCTTGAAAGTGCCGCTGGATGAGTTTGGTTTCGTGACTAAAATTGGTTTGTTTGCGCGTTGATGGATTATGAATTATTGATTCGGATCATTGAACTGTTGATTTTTATGTAATTATCAGTTGTGGTTAATTTGGTTTAGATTTTGATCGGTAAGAAACATTATGGCGAAGAAAAAGAACCCTATGGTGTTTATGGATGTGTCTATAGATGGGGATCCTGCTGAAAGAATGGTTTTTGAGGTACTTTCTTTTATATTTTATATTTTCTTTCCAATGATTCATACACACACAGTGCGACTTTGTGATAATCAACCTGATGCTATGTTGTCTGTCCTCTCAGCTTTTCCATGATGTTGCTCCAAAGACTGCTGAAAATTTTCGTGCACTGTGTACCGGTAATAATATATTTTGATTTGCATACAAATTTCTTCAGTTGTAACCAGTGTTGTCGATGGAGGAGAGCCAAAATCCGGCCATATCGTCCGCTTTGTGGCGCCGCTATAGAGGATTATGGCAGAAACCCCACTATATATTTATCATTGCGGCGAGCCCAAAAACTGCCATGTATATCTGACGTAGCCGCCATGGTGCTATTTTGATATCACTTGTTGTAACACATGTTTGTTGAACTTGGACAGTTCTTTTTTTTCCTTTAAGATTCCACATATCATCACCATTGCTTATCCATCATCAACTGAAAATTGTTGGACGTGTTAATGCCTTTTGGTTCTATGTAGTGCATGGAATATTTTAGAGCTCAAATACAAGTCATCTTCCTAATCAACAAATAACTGATTTACCTTCTCTTTGAAATGTGTTATTTCCTATTTCAGGAGAAAGAGGAGTCAGTCCTAATACTGGAAAGTCCCTGCACTACAAGGGTTCTTTCTTCCATCAAATCATAAAAGGCTCCATTGTGAAGGTATGTTTTTACTTTTTCTTACATCTAGATCGTTCTTCGGTAGTTCCTATAGTAAGTTTTCTGTATTCTTTTGTGGTTGAAAATGGCTTAGTAGTGGGCCCTATTTTTGTCAGTTTCCCTTGTTTATTCTGTAGGATACAGGGCTGATGGTCACGACTGCTTTACTTGTGATATAGTTTTAAGGTTGTACTTATGATGTTATTAATACTCATAATTGTAATAAGTCATCGATGACCAGACTATTTGTATGCATTATTATAATTTGATTGTTTGTATTAATGGTTAGTTTCGCTTTTGCAGGGTGGTGATTTTATCAATCGAAATGGTAAGTATTTATTCTTTGATTCTTTTTGTCTCATACTGTGAATTATTTCTCCACCTTTTGAAGGTTGCAATTTGATATAATACACGTAGTCACTTTATTTTTTTTATCATTTGACCATTCAGTTGTCCGGGTTGCAAGCCTTAGTTCATTTTCATGTTTCCTGTTACAATGGTAATTTCTTTTCCTAGTCAGTTAGGAAATTAAGAAAGTTTCATTTTCCTTTGATACAAGTTGCCTGTCATTTAGTGGGGCACAATAGCAATTTGGTTTTCTACTCTGGGTTAATTTTTTGATTTTGTTATACAGTGGCTTATTAATTTTAAATTAAAACCATGCCAACATTTTTTATCTGCATGCAAGTTTCTTCTCATGCTCTGTTCTTAAGGGTTTTTAAAAATCATGTAGTTGTTAACTTTCTTTATCAGACTATCTTGAACCAACAATAATGTAAAAATTCTGATTGTCACTTTTTTCTCTATGTTTTAGTGACAGTTAGTATGCCGTGAAACCTCATCAACTCCTGTATCTTTTTTCTGTGTTTGGCAGGGACTGGTGGAGAAAGCATTTACCCCAAGTTCCCAGGTTAGAATGCTAACTTGTCGTCTTGAACTCATATTCCCTAGCTCGAGTTCTCTTGAACTCATATTCCCTAGCTCGAGTTCTCTTGAATTCATATTCCCTAGCTTGAGTTCTCTTGAATTATGTCTCTGCTTATTTAGATCTTTTAATTGTACTCGTGGCGTATTTTTTTCCAGACGAGTCTCCTAAGCTAAAGCATGATTCTCTAGGCATTCTATCTATGGCAATTGCTGATCGTGACACTATTGGTTCACATTTTATCATCACTTTGAAAGCTGATCACCATCTGGATAGGTTTGTCTATCTGAATTATTCCCAGTGCCATTTTGTTAACTACTTTGGGACCGTTTGGACGAGGACAACTTATTTGAGATTATTTGCTATCAACAATTATGAAGCATTTTAGTACTGTTTTGATCAATTAGTTAAAAAAGCTTTTGAAACCCATGTAAGATGTTTTTGGCATGTTTTTATTAGTTAGGTTCAAAGCTAATGAAAAATTAAGTCTTTGTAACAGCTAGAAACGGCCTAGTAAGTAGCTCATTCTAAAATAATTGATCTATGTTATCAAACTCGGCCGTTCCGGTCGTTATCTTGGCCTAGTAAGTAGCTCATTCTAAAATAGTTGGTCTATGTTATCAAAACTCGGCCGTTCTGGCCGTTATCTTGGCATGGAACAGCAAAACCAAGAAAACCACGCCAGGCCGTGCTAATCTGGCACAGATGGGTGGCTCGGCTGGAACAAGTCAACCACGCTAATGGAATTGGTTTCGGACTGATGTCACTCTGATGTGGCCGCTCCGGCCTTGTTAGCCTTATATGATATTACCCTTAAGTTTTTAAGGATATCAAGGTTATTTTATTGAATTTTATTGGCATTTGGAAGTATGTTTTGCTTAAGATTTATGGCTTTTATTTTTAAATATAAATACTTCATGAATTTTGATTAATTTATTCTAGTTTTTAAGAATTAAGAGTTCATTATTAACTACTACATTATTAACAATTATGTGTTCATTATTAACAATTATGTGTTCATTATTAACTACTACATTCTTTTATTTTTAAATATAAATACTTCATGAATTTTGATTAATTTATTCTAGTTTTTAAGAATTACGAGTTCATTATTAACTACTACATTATTAACAATTATGTGTTCATTATTAACTACTACATTAGTATCTGCCGTTATGTGTGTTCATTATTAACAATTATGTGCTCATTATTAATTACTACATTAGTGTTCATTATTAACTCCCGTTTCGCTCCATCTTTGTTGATGGCGGTGCTGCGCCACTATATGAGCTTGATAACGCAGAATTTGACTAAAATAACCATAGAGAATTGTTAACACACTCTTCTTTATTGAAATTTTAAATCATTTATTCAAATGGCAATTGGCTTATTTTTTTGCTGCCCTGGCAATGTGCTCTATTTAGCAAGCTTTACTTGATTATCTACCTGTTTAAAATTTAAACTATATTAAAATATGGCTTTACTGTTTACCATTTTTGCATTATGTTGGAGAGTGTAGATTGATAGAGTCATCCTTTTGGTTCATGGAACTATATGCTCAGCTTGCTTATGTGTTCAGAGTTATGGGATCATTTTGCAGGAAGCATGTAGCTTTTGGCAAACTTGTGCTAGGGTATGATGTATTGAAGAAAATTGAAGATGTGGGCGATGAAGGACTCCCATCCGTAACTGTTAAAATAATTAATAGTGGTGAACATAACGAGGGTGAGAATTAGTTAGCCTATTTAAGGAATACCGATTTCCTCCCTTAATATGAATGATGATAGATAAGCCACTAATCATATTCTGAACATTTCATTTTCAAACTTTTAAAGGTTATGCCATAATGTATTGTAGTGTTTATTTTCCCTCTTCAAGTTGATGCTTCTGTCCAGCCTGATAATGCCATTTCTAGATGTATTTGATCTGTTTATTTGAATCTTCAATTGATTTGTTTTAGATGGTAAGAAGACACAGAAGTCCAAAATTGGAAGGAATGGATCTTCTGAAGCCATCAGTCATGAAGCGCGGAGGAAGGGAAAACACAAAAAATCTTCAGTAGACAGAAGAAAAAAGAGAAAACATTACTCATCAGAATCAGACAGTTCCTCAGATTCAGACACAGAATCTTCAGAAAGTGACAGTGACTCTGACTCGGATTTGTCCTCGTCATCTTACACAAGCTCTTCTAGTGATGACAGGCGGAAGAAGAGAAAGAGATATAGGAAAGATAAACATAGACATGGAAAAAGAAGAGATAAACGCCGAGAAAAGAAGCGAAGGAAATTAGATAAGCGATCAAAACATAAGTCAAAGAGGTACTAAATCTGATTAAACATTTGGTTAAGATTTATGGATATAAAATTCCAGTCGTAGTTGCTTGTTAAAAAGGTATAATTGTATCATGTATATTATGCTCTCAAATTGGTTGTGGTTGTGGCTGCTTTTTTCTTCTTATAGTATGTTATATAGGTGGTCTAAATATTGCGTGCTGCTGTTTATTTACATGAATAGTATAGTTATTAACCTACCACATGAGTTTTGCTGCATCCATTGCTCTGAACAAGACAAACTTGTATGAACACATTTTTAACTAGCAATTCTACTTTTATTAACAATTTTGGTGGTTGTCACTGAAATTTTATTGCGTGGTGTTAGGGAATCAGACAGTCAAACTGATGCAGATAGTGCAAGTAAGAGTAATGATAGCTCCAATGGCCAAGGTCTTGATACTCAGAGATATGGTAATTTTGAAGTCCATTTTTTGTTGATTTCATGTGTAATTTAGTTTATCCAATAAATTATTTTATCTTTTGTTCCTTTTGCAAGTTAGTTTCAACAAACTTTTAGCTTCATTCTATACTATTTTATTGATTTTTTAATATAGTTTTTGGTTCTTTGGTAGCATGTGTGATGTCTTGTCTTTTTTTTTCCCTTCTCTTACAGCCGAAGTCCAGTCATCATCAGTTTTGGAGAAAGAATCATCTCCTATGAATCTTAAAAAGAGGGAGGGGCTGAGCAATGTAGAGGATGGAGAATTCCCAAAGGAAAATGGAGCACAGCGTAGCAACGGCACTGGGGCCAACCATAGATCTGACAGATACGAAGAGAGGCTGCCTGATGTGATGGATGATAATCCTGGAAAATCTAGGTCTACTTTCCAATCTTGTCCTTCGTTATTTCTTATGCTTACCATTTCTTCCAGATCTGGTATTTTATTAAAAGTTAATGAGCAGGAGTCGAAGCATGAGTCCTAAGCAAACCGTGAGCAAGAGTATGAGTATTAGTCCCAAGCGTAGGAGCAAAATCCCAAGCATTAGTCCAAAAGAGAGGTTGATCCGAAGTCCAAGTGGTAGTAAAAGCCCTCATGCTCCATCACAGAGGAGTTTGAGCAGGAGTTCTGTTAGAAGCATCAGCAGGAGTCTTAACAGAAGCATTAGCAGAAGCCCTGTGAGAGGGAGGAAGGGGAGAAGTATCAGCAGAAGCCCTGTGAGAAGTCCTGACCGCAGAAGTTTTAGCAAGAGCCCTGTGAAATCTGTTTCTCAAAGCCGCAGGAGCAGGAGTTTTGCTAGAGTATCAACACGAAGAACAGTCAGTAGGAGTCCTGTGAGAGTGTCAAGAAAGAGCTTCAGCAGAAGTCCAATTATATCACCTGCCAGAAGTCTCAGCAGAAGTTCCGGCCGAGCTCCTTTGAGAAGCATTAGTAGAAGTCCTGTTAGATTGGCAGGTAGAGGGAATCACCGCAGCTACTCAAGGAGTCGTAGCCCTGTCCGTAGGGCAAGAACACCTCGCGAGAGGAGTCTGTCAAGGAGCGTGTCACCTGATGCTTCACCAAAACGTATCAGGAGAGGAAGAGGTTTCAGTGAACGATACTCTTATGCTAGAAGGTACAGAACCCCCTCCCAGTCTCCTGTCAGGTACCGCTCCCGGTCTCCTGTCAGGTACCGCTATAATGGAAGGAATGACCGTGACAGGTAAACTGCTTTAGTATGTGGTTTATAAGTTCTAATTAGTCATCATACTAAGGTAGTATGCCTCTATTGAGAATATGAGAGTTAAATGTCATAACTTTTTTACTCTTTCTGCAATCAGATATTCTGGATACAGAAGGTACTCCCCAAGGCGTAATAGGAGTCCACCGCCACGGAGAAGAACTCCACCAAGGTTGTTTTTTCTAACTTCCTTTATATTGTTAACATTTAAAAAAAAATATTCAGGGTGAAAATATTTTGGTTGCACCATGATTTATTTCTTAGTGATTTGATTTATTGTTGATAAATTTTCTCGTACCCATTATTCTAAATCAATAATGACGGCATTAAGCTATAGTGCATATGATTATATGAAAACCTTATATATAGGTACCGGAGTAGGAGAAGCAGGACACCATCTGTATCACGCAGCCCACCTTACCGTTCTCGACGGTATAGCCCAAGCCGTAGCCCGGTTCGCCATCGTTCACCTCATTTGAATAGGCGCATGTCATCATCCCTCAGCAGGAGTCCATCTCGATCCAGGTCACCTGTGGAATCACAATCTCCAAGGAAAGCAAGCAAAGATAACAGATCAGGGTCTTCGTCTAGAAGCTCGGATGGAGGGGATGGAGGGAAAGGCTTGGTGTCTTATGGAAATGGTTCTCCTGATTCAAGCCAAAAATGAAATGCCAAATTTAGACTGTTCAAAGCCATCATCTTAAATGAGCTGGGGCCTTTAATTTTTTAAAACTTCACATACTGCTTTACCTGCTTGCTGGAATTGGTGAATGTTACATTATTACATATTCTACATGGAGCAGGTTAGGAACTTGTAGTGAATTGAAATGGCATGTGAAATATCATAGCTACTAGAATAAGTCCGACTAAACATGTCATACTCTAATGCAGTTTTGGCTGTGGAGTTGTTGGGGTTTATCCAATATTTCTTGGATGTGTGGTACCCCATCCATACATACCCCCATTTATATTTACCAGTATCTTGTAGCAAGTAGCATGAGTTTAATTGATGGAGATTTGGCCTATCCTTTATGGTGGTGGGCATGCCAATTAATTATGCGTGTTTGAGAATATTAGTTAGTATTTATCTATATCAAACATTGAATCATGAATATTTTGTTGGAACTTTCCCCCCAGGTTTCTTCACGTGTCTGGAAGTATACATGAATACAATGGGATACCAACTGTATTTTCTTGAAGAGCAATGCTATTATGACACCAAAGTTTACATCAAGATTTTACACCGTATAGCGCATTATGTGAGGGTGGTAGCACACATTTTGAGGTGCCAATAAAATATTTAAAAAAACTAAAACACCGTATTTTATACGGTGTAGTGTCACAATTTGGTGTCAACTTAGCATTGTTGTTAAAAATAAATATATATGGATGGAACACTATTTTTTAATTAAGATGATATAAAATTTGCGCAAATATATATGAACACAACATTTTTTAATTAAGATGGTATAAAATTTGTGCCACACTCACAAGAAAAGGAGAATATTTTTTAATGCACTTTATGTGTTTATTAGGTACCAACGTGAAATTAAAATTTTTTTTTTCGGGAATTGGAAATGTATCACTGGGACGGACTAACATCTAATTAAAAAGAACCATAATTGAAAATACATTTCCGATTTATATGTAAGTTTATTTTCGATATTTTTTATTATAGAATGCAGTAAAACAATACATACATATTATAGTGAAATTTCAAAATTATTCTCAGGAATTGAAAATTTACAGTGAAATTTCAAAATTATTCTCAGGAATTGAAAATGTATCTCTGGGACGAACTAACATCTAATTAAAAAGAATCAAAACTGAAAATACATTACCGATTTATATGTAAGTTTATTTTCGATATTTTTCATTACAGAATGCAGTAAAACAACACATACACGTTACATCAAAATTCATAAACAAAATATAAAATTAAAATAAGCAATACAATATGGGATTTAAACATATATGTGATATTACACTTCAACATTCGGGTGGACGTTGCAACAATTTTAAAATTTCATTAACCGTTCTTGTAATCATCACATCAAGTTCGATTTGAATTTTTTTGTCGTAATCGAAAAAAGTTTTTCACATAGCCCGTAAATCAGTGCTTGTTTGTATCTCTTTGTTGATGAATTCAAGCTTTTCGTTGTTGTTAATAGATAGAGAGCGGTATTCAATCTTCAAAATTTTCCTATTGTCGTCAAATAGTAAAAATTCACGTATTATGTTACGAAGTGAACCTTTTCAACATGCTAAATGATATTTATTTTTTGTTTTAGTGTTTAGACCTGAGATAACATGAGGGAGAGAGATGAGTTTCTTATATAGTAGTTTGAGGTTGTTATAGACCACACACTTTCTATCTGTTGACATAATGTAAACTGTAAATGTATTTTCAGTTACACCATAACTTGAAAGTCAAAAATACATTTTCGATAAAGTCCCTGATACTGAAAATCAGAAACAAATGCATAACAGAAAGAGCAGATTGCATAAAAATATATAGTAGATTTTATAACTAACAAAATGGAAATATTCCACATCACAATTCATTAACAAAAAGACATATACATCAAAGTCATATTTAACTACGTAAAAGATCTGAAGTAATTGTCTCCCAACAAATCTACAAGTGGTACACCCTTTGACTTTTCCTTATTTTTTGCTATTTCAATATTCTTCAACTTGGTGTACTCTTGCATTCTTTCAATGAACTGGTCCAGTCAAGTCTCAGATTAGTCTGTATAATGATTCGCCCACTCCGGTGATGTAGATGGTATATGGCATCCCGATTTCAAATACACTTGAACAAAATGTCGGAGATTTGAAACCCACCTAACATAAATGATACGATTAGCAGAATTAGATGTTGGAGCAATGCACAATAGGATTTTTTTTTTGTAAGAAACTGTATCTTGTAAGATTAATACACACCCTCTCATACACACTTGCAATAAGATGACCCATCTAATGGAAATAAATCCATTTCTTCTCCGATGCAAATGCTTCTATGGATGGTACAAAAGCATTATAGATTGCTTCAAACTCATTCTTATCCCTGTACACCCGTGTGTACAAATCTCTATGGCTCATCAACTCTTGGATAAGAGTTTGGTGGACAAGTGTGTGATCATCTCCCTCTTTATCGAGTAAAGTAGAAACAACCCGAAAATCACAATTACCATCACTAGCAACATTGTTGATCCGATCAATGTGATTGTGCATAAAACCGCCATCTCCTAAATGAACGATATTTTTAGTGGAGACGGTGGAGGAAGTGTAGTTGGAGGTTTGCTTATGCGAGCATCTTTGAAGACCTTTTTCTGAGATTTCGTTGTCGAAAAATCGGGAATTTTTTTGTCAACGTGTTCAAAATAAGATGGACTTCTCAGAGTAGAATTTTCACTTGATGTAGGTTTAACCTTTTTTGGTGCTCTTTTTGTTTTAACCGGTTGAGACAGTGGTTTCAAGTCGGTTGTTTCTGGATATGCGATCTTCCTCAATTCCTCTTTGATGTGGAGTTTTGTGTTGTCATCGCCTTTTCTAAATCTTTATTGTATCACTTTCCATTCTGCCAAGATTGTGATACTTGATATTCCCTCTTCCACTGTACTGTCGTCTTCAAAACTCAACCTCTTCCAATGACTACATACTTCATCCATTCGTATCGGACTACCAAGTTTCACCTTCTTAGATATCAAGCACACGGGAGACCATATGTTTTCACAATTATGAAACCACGCTTAGAGGTATCAGAGCCTAAGTCAGAGGCTCGTTTGACTTCATAAAAAATGAAATTAAGAGCTGATCGTGCTATGTTGCCAACCAACTGAGAATAAAGAATGTTGTCTTTGAACCTGTGTTCCAACACTGTGATACTACGATAAAATGATGTTTGAATTTCATTATGCTGATTAAGTATCATTTGGTTCACGGATTCCCAATCCATAGACAAATCACCTTGTTACTTCCCAACCAATTCTTCAGACATGCATGAGCTGACTCAACTCGATTTGTTGTTGTATTTCCAAGATGCATAACCTGATCTGTCCATGCACAAATAATCTTCTCTTTCACCTGATCCAAAATTGTAGTCTCAATGTATTTCAACAAATTGGGATATTTATCACACCAGTGTTTTAAAACCCAGCCTGACCCGACCGGTCGGACCGGTCTGACCGAGAACCGGTGGGCCAAGCGGTTCGATCAAGGGATAAGACCAGAATTACATTTAGACCGGATGAAACTGGTGTGAACCGGCTGGATCACCGGTTAAACCAGTGAACTGACGATTTTTACTGAACCGGCGGGTTTGACTATTTATTTTATTTTTTAGGACTTTTGAAAAAAAATTAACATAAACGCTTTGCCTCCTCGTTTTCTAAACCTAGGCATTTGAAATGTTTTCTTTTTTATTTTGTCTTTTCTTTTTCTAATTGAAGTCATATTCTCAATTTTCTCTACCAACAAAAACTCCCACTTGCTGCTGTTATTTGATATTCCTTGTTTGCCGTCAAAAATTTCACTAAAACATCAAAAACAGGTTATTTCTTTTTTACTTGGTCTAATTTGCATTGATGTTTTTCAATATGAATATTATTGTTTCATTTTGTTGATTAATTGATATAGAAAATAAATGATTAAATTTTATCATTTTCTATAAAATTGGGTCTTTTAGTTTAACAAATTGAGATAGAATTTGTATGAATGAAGCAGTTTTATACTTTTATGAATTAACTTATTATAGACTGGTAATGAAGTTGTTGTATATTGGAGATAGAAATTGGGATAAATATATATTACTGTAATAGTCGTTGTATATATTATGGAGATAGAAATTGAGTTTAAAACTATGTAATCTAAATTATATAGTAAGGCCAAGTTTTCTGTTTTTTATTAATTTAAATTATATAACAAAGAAAAGTTTCAGGATTTTATTAATCTAAAATATATAGCAAAGGCTGGAAAACAAAGTTTCTATTTTTTTATTATATATGGTGATGCACAGTAACGATGCTTGGTAGCCTATATGTAATATACAACAACATATTCATATATTTTGGATTTAGATATGCTACATATTTAATGTTTCTTATAATGTTTTTATAAATTCAATAATTTTTGTTTAGAATTGTGTTTTGTTAATATTTTTGTAATATAGTTTTGTATTTTTAAATTTTGATTGATATTAGATATGGCATCACCCGCTGAAGTAATAACTTCAGAAGAAGTTACATCTCAAAATCCAACCCAACTCCAGAGCAGTAGGGGAAAAACTGATATAGCTTGGGGTCATTGTAAACAAATTGAAGAGAAAGGAAAACTTGTTAATTTGTGTATTTACTGTGATAAAATTATTAGAGGAGGGGGGGATTAATAGGTTCAAATTCCATTTGGCTGGAATAAAAGGTCAAGTTGAAACATGTAAAAAGGTGCCTCCAGATGTTCAATATCAAACGAAACAAAATCTTGATGAAGGTGCAAATAAGAGAAGAAAGACTCAAGCACAAAATTTTGATGTTGATCTTACTACTCAAGAGGGTGGTGTAGTAGAAATGGATGTAGAACAATCAAGATCAAATTCGGTAATTGTGTCTCAAAAGAGAAAGAATACTAGTCGTATTGGTAATTATTTTATGCCTAGAACAACTCCTG